GAGGAGGACGAGGACGAGGAGGAGCCGATGGCAGCTCTGCGGTGGATCGGGAGATTCTACATCTAGAAAAGAGGGCGAGGCTTGGAGGATACTGACTCCTCCTCCTCCTGCTCCTGTTCTTCCTAATCAACCTCCTGCTCATCATCCTACTCATCTACGCCCTGTTCATATTGCTTCTCCTTATCCTCCCCATCCTCCTCCTCCTTCCCTCCTTTCTTCTCCCCTTCCTGATCCTCACGCCTCCTGTTCCTCATCCTCATCCTCTCCTTCCTCCTCCTCCTCCTCCCTCTCCTCATCGGATCTCCCCCTTCTTCCTCCTCCTCCTCTGCTGCTGCTCCGCCTCTGAGCGCCCGTTTCTCCGTTTCCTCCTCCTCCTCCTCCGCCTCCTTCCTCCTCCCCTCTACCTCCCTCCTACCCCATTTCCTCCCCTCTCCCTCAACCTCCACCTTCCAAAGTCCTTTCCTCTCGGTCCCCTCTCCAAGTCCTCCTCCTCATCCTCCTCGTCCCCCCCCATCCTCCCTCCCCCTTTGCCTCCTCCTTCATCCTCCTCCCTCATCATCCACCTCTCCTCTCCTCCTCCTCCTCCTCTCTCCTCCTCCCTCCTCATCCTTCCTCCTCCTCCTCCTCCTCCTCCTCCTCCTCTTCCTCATCCTCCTCATCCTCCTTCTCCTACTCCTCCTCCTCTTCCTCCTCCTCCTCCTCCTCATCCTTCTCCTCCTCCCCCCCCCTCCTCGTCCTCGAGGAGGAGGAGAAGGGCCTCTTAAGTATCTTCGGCCTCTTAGGGCTTCTGGGGCAGACCAGTGCCCCTCATCCTGCTCAAGCCTATTGGGGGATTCTCTTCGGGTCCCTTTGGGGCCTCTTTGGGCCCTGTTTGGGACTTCTTTGGAACCTCTTTGGGTCCCTTTGGGGCTTTTTGGGCCGCCTCATGCTACGGCGTGGTGCCCTATCGAGAGATGAATCCACTTGGCTTCCGAGCACCCGAATAACCCAGAATAGCAAGACATCATAACTCAAACGTAAAAAAGCTAAAATTCCATATTTTTTGTTTATAAAAAACACAATTCTGTGTAACTGCGTTATAACTCGTTTACACTGTTTTCCATAATTATCCTGATCATGTTTATGTTGGAACCGACAAACTGATTATAACGGCCTTGTAATTTTTATAACACATTATAACGTGCGTTTTGCAGCGAGTTGTAACCCCACTAACTCAATTATAACCGTGTTGCCGCCATGTTGTAACGTGGTTGCGACGCACTTACAACTACTATATATATATATATATATATATATATATAACACAAAACCGAAAGTATACAAAGTAGTGACCCCCCCCGGTTTCCCGCCAGCAGCGGTAGAACACGCTCTTTCTTAGGTCAACGCCCCGACTGTACCTACTTTCACCGACCGATGGGTAAACCTTTGAGTTTGGTAGCGGAGCTGCAGCGCAGCACCGGCTCCAGCCTCCAGCTCTTCCACCGGGCACTGCGCGGCGCCATACACCAGCACCGCCCGCGCGCCGCCAGGCGCGCCGGGCGCGCCGTTCCGCCCCGGCAAAGTTCCACAGGAAGCGGGTCCTCACATACTCCAGGGCGACCTTCGAGGTCGGCGCGCATACGGGGGTAGGGAGAGTGGGGAAGGCTTCTTAGAAGGCGGCTGCATCTTAGAAGGCGCAGGCCGCCCGTCTAAGAAGCCAGGGGCGCAGCACATCTTAGAAGCACCCAGGCAACTTGTTAGAAGCACGGAACTGCTTCATAGAAGCAAAATAAGTTTCTTAGAAGCAAGCCACCTGCTTCTTAGAAGCACGCCAGGAACAGGTTCTAATAAGCTGGCACAAGCTTCTTAGAAGGGGCACCCACACCTTCTGAGCAGGGGGGTGTTTCTAAGAAGCCTTCCCTCTTCCCCATACCCCCCCTCTGCGCGTGGCCGATTTCCAGAAAATATTATTCAGCACTGTTCTTGCCGGCGCAAAAGTCAGTGGACCTCTTCGGCCATTACGGCACCATCGAGACGATGGCGGCCAGCGGAAGTACAAACTGGAGACTCCTGGACGCCCTCCCAGAGTTCACAAAATATGTTCCTTCAGGCTGGAAGCCCGGCTTGCCAGACTACAGCTTCAATCACTTCTTGGAGCGCCTCCATCCGTAGTGGCGCCTTACCAACGAAGAGGAGACAGGCCCACTCGTGGCAAGCCGTCTTCTCGATCGGGCGTTCCAGGTGGCCATAACGATGAGAGTGGCACGGAATGGTGAGCTGCACGTTGGTGATGCAGCTCTAGCGTTGCCCACTCATGATCAAGTCGTGGACATGGATAGAAACTTGGAGCAAGAAGGCGACCTGGCCGGCATCGGCCATCTCATCAAGAAGCTCACCGAGGACTTCGAGATACATAACCAGGACAGGCAGGGCGAGATCCTTGAGAAGCTATGGGACACTCGCAGAGCCTCCACAGGCCTCCAAAACGACCTCCTGAACTTCAAGCAGCAGTGCCAGCAGGCAGAAAGCAGCTCGGGTCTCTCGAGCAATGCCACTGGCTTGACACACATTCTCTCCTGATCGAGCGGGCTGCCAGCCCACAGGATCATGGATATCAGGCTTCAGTACAACGGCGACCATGAACAGTTGAATGAGATTTGCAATATGATCAGCAAGACCGCGAAACAGAAGATGGCATCATAGAACGGACATCGCTACGGACACTACAGATAGTTCTACTACCCAGAGCTGGACGGACGACAGTCAGGATGAAGGATGCGTTGATTCTACCTAAGACGACGACACCACCACAGAGACTACGTCACCGAGCAAGGTGAATGGCGACATTGTGCGTACGACAGCTATTGGAATTGGTATGACCCAGACGTTGAAAATTACCTCAATGAGCTCGATCCCGAGGAACCCTACCAGATGAGTGGTGCTACAACGGCAGACGGGAAGGAAAAGGAAAAGTCGCTTCCGCAGTAAGGGACGAGCTGAAAGATTCAAGAGTCTTGAAATGGCAAAGGATCAAAAGGAGGAAAAGGCCGAGGCGACAGTGGACGATATGATTCAGATGCTCTTTGCCAAGGCGGAGAGTGTAGGGAAAATGCAAATCTCACGGCAACACGGGTTGCATCATCTGTGGTTCAAAGTGGCACTGGCAAGCAGATTGTCCTGCCCGTTAGCGCATCAGAGACGGCGATGGCAAGAACGGCGCAGACGGCAAGCACACCTCCAACCGCGGCAAGAATCTACCCTTCCCCTCCTCCTCCTCCTCCTCCTCCTCCTAATCCTCCTCCTCCTCCACACTCAGCAGCCCCTATCTCATGCCGCAGATCCTCCAAAATGGGAAAGACATTACCGGCGGCCGACGGCAGCGTAATGGAAATGGCAAGAAAGGGCATCAGGGATCATTATCCTCACAGGAGCTGATACTCCAACTGAGCAGCCCTCAACGACGAGATCCTTGGCAGACCGGCAACTTCGATAGCATCTCTGAGGCTATCCCCTCGAAGGGATCCTGGAGCGCGGTATCACTGGAAGGAGCTCAGCCACCTCCAGGAACATGACACCGGCCTGACGAACGGCAGCCTCGGAAGAACTTGAGTTTCGGAGGTCTTGCCAACAGCTCTAACACCACGGACTTCGACGACAACAAGCCTCAAGAAATCGAGCAGAGTAGACTGAGCACTGGATCTTATCAATTACCAGAACGGCCTGCCAGACCTCCAGCCAGCACCTCTACTCACGACGACAGCCGCGAGGACATCACACCTGCTGGAGTGGCCAAGGGCTCGTTTACAGAAGTGTTGCAGACACGAACTAATCTCTTCGCCATCAACTACGGAAGCCAGGTGAGCGTTGACCATCAGATCCTTCCGACGAGCGTGCGAGGTACATCACATGTTAGCTCATCGCTGAACCAGGTGCAGCAGAAGGCTTGTTGGTACTGAAACGGTCAGAGAGAAATGTGAACATCTTTTGTGGCCGAAAAGTCTGGACACCAACCTGAAGATCTCCTACTCCAAGCTCTCCGGCATCGACGATACTACCAGTCCGTCGTTCGGCCGTGTCACGATCCCGCTCAACCTTGAAACACATCCTCGAAGCTCGTTCAATGGATTTGGTGGGCGGATCTGGGTCGAAATGTCCATGCCTACTCCCGAATGAATCGATCATGGAGCATGTTGGTTCTATGTATGCAAACGTCCTGCGGAACAGAAATGGGATTCTGGTTACCAATCATCTCGGAGCCACGGGCAAGAAGGTGGCTCCGACATCATTCCCTCGTTTGCTTTACACAGATTCTGGACATGACCTCCTATCGATTGATGGCCCTGCGGGCAACGCCGAAGACGAAGCCGGAGCCCTACGCAGAGCAGTCAAGGACGACATGGACTTCATCTTTGACACCGCTAGGACGACATGGACGATGACAGGCTTTCCCTCCACCCTCCCCCTTCGCCTGAGGTCCACCACTCTGTGAAAGGAAGGGGGACCCTGGGGGGCACTCACAAAGATGTCCGAGCTGAAACCGGCTAAAACCATGTCAAAAATCTCTAGCCCCTACCTCGCCGTGGCGATTTCCGTGCGCTCGCTTCGCCTGGGGGGTCGGCGGAATGGCGCAAGTCTGTTCCACTGACAGGGCGTGAGGCACAGTGCGAAGGTGTTGCTCCTGGGAGCGGCGCCGGCACCGAGTGACCGCCTCGTCAACAGAGTTGAAAACATCGGCAGAGCTTTTGCTCCGACCGCGATCGAAGACAACTACTGGAGGACTACGATCGGCCGTGGACAGACCTCCCTTTCGTAAACAACCCTTCCGTGAAAGCGGCCCAAGGCCGAAACCGACGGACTCGGACCCGCAAACATGACGGCTGCGACGCCCTCCCGCGAAGCGAAAACGGCGAATTCGCTACTCGACGTGTCAGGGTAGGAGGTCTATCAACCTCCGATACTCGGGGGCGCATTCTTCGCCACCGTGATTCGGGAGCGGCCAAGAGGGGGGTGTCCAAGAGGGGGGGTGCAAATCATGACGGGCGGCATGTGCGCGGCCCAGCGGGCGGGCCTGGGACGCAATAAAATAAGAAGAGGCGCCATGAAATCTGAGGAAAAATCATGGCCCGCGCCATGAAATCCACCCCCCCTAGTCCTCACCCACCTCTTTTCCGCTCCCGAGTGATAAGCTAAGCGAATTCCATTTCCTCCAGCCGAAGCCGCGTCCATTCCGGACGGGTGGCCGAAGTGGGGCGACAGGCCGCCCACTGTGCTACCCTAGAGGCAGCTCGGGGGAGAAGAGGGGGAGCGAGGAGGAGGAGGCGAGAGCGGGACACAAACGAGCCGGAGAAGAACGGCCCATGACGAATGAACAGCACACGCCCATGCCCATGGGGAGGTCAGAGGGATGAAGACTGGCTATGGGTGTGGGTGCGGGTTGTCGGACCCTGGGGGACGCTCCCGTTCGAGCGGAGACCCCCGTCCAACATCACGCACTCAGATAGCCCCCGCCGCTCCCTCAGGGGTGTTCGTTCGCCAGCTCGGGGATCTCCGAGGGCCCGCGCACCCGCAGGCTGTGCCCGGGTGCCGCGGCCGTTCCAGCGAGAAGACTCTGGCCGGAGGAGGGCCAGCCCGGAGACCCCGAGGGCTCTCCATGGCCAGGCCCAGAGCCGCGGTCAGAGCATCGGACCCCCCGGACCCGTCCCCAGGGTGTTTCCTCCTCCTCCTTCTCCTCCTTCTCCTCCTCCTCCTCCTCCTCCTCCTCCCCCTCCCTCCGGCTCCTCCTCGTCCTCTTCTCCTCCCTCCTCCTCCTCCCCTCTTCCTGCTCCACGATCCGCTCAGAGAGATCGGACCCCGGACCCGTCCCTGCGGGTGCTTCCTGGCCCGTGCTTCGAGGCGGGTCCCGCCGTGGCGACGAGAAGCCTCCAGAAGGCCCCCCAAAAGATTACGCTGTTCCCACCGTCCTGAAGGACCAGACCCCATACAGAACGTCGAGCACCCAGAAAAAAGCATCGACACGGCGTCGAACGAGCATCTCCTCCCGGAGCCCGACACGTGAAACGCCTCCAGCTTCGGTGCTGTCTTGGTGCTCGAAAATATTGCTGGTGATTCAGGCTAAATCAGAAGGGAAAAAACACACAGACACAATTAATCGTCGGTTTCCCAGAAAATATTGGAAAATATGGGAAGTGGTGGGGAAGACAAAAAACCAGAAAATATAGGAAAACATGGGGAATATGTTTATGTGTGTATTTATGTGTGTGTGTGTGTGTGTGTGTGTGTGTGTGTCCCAGCTTCCCTTCACTAAAGTAGGTTGGAAGATCAGAGCCCAAAGAGAGCGAAGAAAGGCCAGGAAGAGGCCGCCGTCGGCTCGACGGGACCCCCCCTCCGACATGGAGCGTCCTCCCTCCTCCCGCCTCCCTCCTCCCTCCTCCCTCCTCCCTCCTCCCTCTTCCCTCCTCCCCTCAGCTCGGGGATCGCTGGGGAAGCCTCTTCGTACGGCAGCTTCGCGCCGTGACGACACCAGCGTTGGTTTCTGACACCGCGTGGATCGTTCAACATTCGACGCTCGGCGGTTCTTCGATCGCCAGATCAAGGAACAATTGGCCGATTCTGGGCCACCGCCTGCGTTCAATCTTCCTTCGGGGAGACGTGCGACTCGGGTTAGGGGGACTCGGGCTGGCCTGACAGGACCGTCAGGAGAATTACAAGATTCCGTCTGCAGTTTGGCGCGAGCTCCCGCTGCAAACATCCCACGAAAACTGGACCGCAGGACAGGCTCGACAGAAAGCGTCGGCAAACCCTAGTTCCAGTGAACTCGAGTTTTACGTTTCCCTGATGTTTGAACGCCCGCGCTGGGGTCGCAGCTGCGTCGACATGACGAGAGCCTGCAGCAAAACAAGTTGTATGATGGACATCGGCTGGCACTGCCGTCCGTTTCTGTGATATCCACGGCGCCCCGAGGTGCCGGGATGTCGGCCCCCAGAGCGTGCGGCAATACTAAGAGGGGTCGCCACTAGGGAGGCACGAGGTTCTCAAGGAAGTGGGCCCCCAATCGAATTCCAGGGCCCGCCGAAACAACCCCACACTGTCCAAACGCCTCCTCGAATTCCGATCCTGCGTTCAAACTGTTTGAACGCCCGCGCTCGGGTCGCAGCCGCGTCGACACGACACGGATCGAATGTAAGATGACGATTTTCGGCGGCGAGCGAGGGGGGAAGTGAGAAGGAGAAGGCCTTCTCAGAAGCCCTGGCGCCTTCTGAAGAGTGTTCTGTGTCTTCGCGGAAGGCCCAGAAAAACTTCTCCGAAGGCTGGGGGACTTCCGAGCCTGCTGAGAAGGCCCGCCCCTTCTCACTTCCCCCCCAGGCTCGCCGCCAAGATGAAGCAAAGAATTTGTGGGGAACCAATGACAAAATAGTTTCCGAATCTTCGGCTTCCGCTCCGCTTCGACTCCATCCGGCCCGTCGACTGTCGAGGCGCGCGCCCGCGGAGGGAAGAGTAATTTCTCGGCTGTGGGCCCGTTTTTCAAGTCATCATCCTGGGTCCCGCCGCGTGAAGACGACTCTCAGCGGCGAGCGAGGGGGAAGTGAGAAGGAGAAGACCTTTTCCAAAGCAGCGGGGCTTCTCAGGAGGCTTCTGGCCTTCTGAGAAGCGTTTTCTGCGTCTTCGGGGAAGCGTGGAACACTTCTAAGAAGGCCAAGGCACTCCCAGGCCTTCTGAGAAGGCCTTCTCCTTCTCGCGTCCCCCTCCCAGGCTCGCCGGAAAAGTGGGTAGAAACATGAAGCAGGTCGGCGTTAGAAGCAGATCGGGCTTCCTCCCGCCCCCTGGAGCTCCTAGGGCGACGAGATCTATGCATATCCACTGCTCCTGGCCAGGCCAATCCTGGGCCCAGGAGCGGTGTATACGCCCTCCTGGCCTGGCCAGGGAGGCATATACACAGCTCCGGGGCCCAGGATGGGCCTGGCCAGGAGCAGTGGATATGTATAGATCTCGTCGACCCCTGGAGAGGAGGAGGGAAGAGGGAATAGCGCTCCGCCCTTGACATAGGCAGGCGGTCGAAGCGGATCGTGATCTGCGGCCGGCGCGTGCCGGCTCTCCGAGGCGGCCTGGCCGCGGACGCCCGCCGGGGGGCGGCGCGCCTCCTCGCAAGGCGCGCTCCGCCCCGGCGGGGCGGGGTGGCCGAGGGCGTGGGCCTCCCTCTCGCCCGCCTTCGCTCGCTGCGCTCTCGAGGCGCCCTCTGCCGCGCCGTCCCCCTCCAAAAAGCCACGGCCTGAGGCGCTGGACGAACCCAAACGGACGTCTGCAGGGCGGACGAGTCGGAGCAGGCGAGTCGGAGCGGACTGGGTAGTCGAAGCCAATCTGGCGCCAATCTGGCAGGCCCAATCTGGCAAACGGGGGCAATCTGGCGAGGGGGCCAGCGCGAATCCAGTCTGGCGAATAACCCAAATCATCCAGTTTGGCCGGGTCAGATTGGCCCTTGGGGCCCAATCCAATCTGACAGTCTGGCCTTCGACTACCCAGGAACCCAAACGGACGTCTGCAGGGCGGACGAGTCGGAGCACAGGCGAGTCGGAGCGGACGAGTCGCGGCGGACAAGACGGAACTCGGACGCAGTGCGCCGATCCGGCGTGCGAGCTCCCAAACGTTACAGCCTGGGCTCCAGCTCTGCTGGAGGGTTGCCGGGGGTGGCTCTGCCGGGGAAGTGGAGGAGGAGCTCCATCTCCAGGGCCGCTGGACATGCAGCGCTGCTGGCGGGGAGGGGGTGGCGGACCCCGGCCCCGGCCCGCGCCGTTTGTGGTTCCACATCGTCATCGTCGTCATCGGTTGTCGTCGCTGGTCGTCGGTCGTCGGCTATCGCTCGCCATGAATCGTCCATCATCGTCGTCAGTCGTCCTCGTCGTCGTCGTCGGTCCTCGTCTGTGGTCGTCGCCGATACTGCGTCGGCATTCATCTTTGGCCGTCGTCGGCATTCATCGTTGGCCGTCGTCGTCCTCGTCGCCGGAGTCTTCGACAGCGTCGGGAACGCCTGGGATCGGCGGCACTGGCCAGAGGCCATTACAATTCGCCGGCCCAACGGGGCAGAGGCGTGCTAAGATCTCCGGTAACTGGTTACTAGTCTTCTAGTTCTTGCGCGCGGGGCGCCCCCTGGGGGCCCCCGGACGAAAAGTACCCCGAGCAGGTCCCGGCCAAGTGGGTCCCAGAGATGGGTTTCCTCCTCGGCGCTGCCTTCCAGGCTTTCCAGAGCGCCGCAGGAACGCCCCAAAAGAGCCCCGAGACGCGTCCGAAACCGTCCGAAAAGCCCTGGGTCGCCGCAAGATCGTTCCAAGACGCCCAAGATGGCCTCCTGACGGCCAAAGCCGCCGCCAAGAAGCCCCAAGAGAGCCTCAAGAGGCCGTCCAAGAGTCTCAACAACCAAAAACCGCCCCGTTTCCTTACGAGGGCGTGCATTTTTCGCATGTGCGACTCTTGGAGGTCCAGAGCGTCCAATACTGCCCAAGAGACCCCCAATATCGCCCCAAGACGGCCCAACAGGCCCCCAAGATGGGCCGAACACGGCCGAAGAGGGCCCCAAGACGGCCCAAGAGGCGCCCAGGACAGCCCAAGACGGCCCCAAGAGGGGACCAGGAGGCGCCCAACACGGCCCAAGGGGCCCCCAAGACGGCCCAAGAAGCGCCCAAGAGGGGGAACGCGATGCGAAAATCCGAGCCTTCAGCCCAGAAAAAGGCCCCTAAGAGGCCTCCAAGAGGACCCCGTGAGGCTACATGGGCCGGCGGAATGAGCGAAGCGATTAAGTAATTATCCCATTGCGACCCTACCTAGGAGTTGGAGCCCCTAGGAAAGCAGCATTAGTAGTAACATTAAAGCTAAGCTAAAGCTAAGCAAAAGCTAAGCTAAAGCTAAGCTAAAGCTAAACTAAAGCTAAGCTAACGCTAAGTTAAAGCTAAACTAAATATACTATAAAGCTAAGATAAAGCTAAGCTAAAGCTAAGCTAACGCTAAGCTAACGCTAAGCTAAAGCTAAGCTAACGCTAAGCTAAAGCTAAGCTAAAGCTAAGCTAAAGCTAAGCTAAAGCTAAGCTAAAGCTAAGCTAAAGCGAAGCTAACGCTAAACTAATGCTAAACCAAAGCTAAGCTAAAGCTGATCCAACGCTGAGCTAAAGCTCAGCTAACGCTAAGCTAAAGTTAAGCCACAGCTAAGCTAAAGCTAAGCTAAAGCTAAGCTAACGCTAAGCTATATCTAAGATACAGCTAAGCTAAAGCTAAGCTAAAGCTAAGCTAACGCTAAGCTAAAGCTAAGCTAAAGCTAAGCTAACGCTAAGCTAAAGCTAATATAAAGCTAAGCTAAAGCTAAAGCTAATAAGGCTAAGCTAAAGCTAAGCTAAGCTAAAGCTAAGCTAACACTATGCTAAAGCTAAGCTAAAGCTAAGTTAAAGCTAAAGCTAAAGCTAAAGCTCCCAGGGGACTGGGGGAACCGCGGGGCGGATCCTGGGGGAACCGCCCGGGGCGGTGTGCACTGCCCGGCCCCTTTAAGATAGGAAGTAACAACCCTTCTAGGCAGAGCCTAGGTAATTAGGGAAAAACCGGGTTCATGGAGAGGGGGGGCTGGCTCCGCGCGGGCGGAGAGGCTTCTGCCGACCGCGGGCGCCCGACGCCTGTACCTCCCAGACGTGCTCGCGTCGTGAGAAGATCTGGACGTGAGGTCTTTCGCCGTGAGATCGGCCTCATGGGGCCCTTGCCGGGCCCCGGGGCCGTCCCACAACGGCACAGGAGGAAGACCAGTCCCGGGGAGAGGGTCGGGACTTCCGGGAACCGCGTGCTGAAGAAAAATTGGATCTCGCACGTCTGGGCGCACGTCATGGAGAGGCCAGCCCGTCGAAGAAGTTCCCCACGCAACCCGCGAGTACGAGATCGACTACAGAATTGAAGTACCCCCAGAATGGAGTTGATCCGTCGACTCCACGAGAAAAAAACGTACACTGCTCCGCAGATCTACAAAGCATTCCACGCACTCTCCCCCAGGTTGGACGAATGCATCCGTGTTGGGGTACATCAGCGCTGTAGCCGATCTCCTGCGCAAATCCTTGCAGCCCAAGCCTGAGTCCTCGGCGCTGCAGCTCCTTCACGTCGGGCGACCTCGCCCTGGCTTCGGGCCCCGGGGCCCTCGCGGAGTGGCCTGGCCCGAGAGCTGCGCCGCGGAGAGATGGGCCGCTGTCGCGATCTCTCGGGAGGCCGGCGCTCCTCGCGACGTCGGATCTCGGGGACCAGGGGAATCGAAGAATCCGGCCAGCCCTCTGGGCGTAGGTGGTTTACCGAGTTGTGTCTTCTCCCTGCCCTAGCTCCCTCCTTCCCCTGTTCGGGGGAGGGCTCCTGTCGCGATTTCCCACGCGGCCGGTGTTCTTCGCGACGTCGGATCTCAGGGACTACAGAAATCGAAGAATTCCCCGGGCCAACTCGGGCCAAGTCACCCAGTCAACTTCTCCGGCCAACCCAGGGACAGGATGATTTTCCAAGCCAGATTTAAGGTGAGTGTGAATCTGAACTGTTCTGGCCTCCGACGCAGGAGGGGCGAGTAAAATCTGGGCAAGGAAAGCGACCCCCCCCCCCCCACAGGGGAGAACTCTCCTCCTAGGTGGGGATGGGCGCCGTCTCCTAAAACTGAAAGGAGGACGCTGGGAGAGCTAGCTTGCCATAGCCAGGAAGCGGCGGGGTGGGATGTAGCGAAGATGAGAAAAGGACAAGGACGCGGGAGCACAAACGGCATCGTCAACGCACCACTGCTGCAGAAGCACCAGGATTTCGGGCACAGGAACAAAAAGGAATCCGCTGAGGGCCTCCCGAGGGCGGCGTGCCATCGATACCCTCCCTCCCTCCCGAGGACATGAGAGGAAGAGGCTCGGGAGAGCCGTCTGCCGCAGGCAGACCGCACCCTCGGCCGCTTCGCGGCGAGGGCCGCGGCCGACGCGCACGGGAGGGGCCGAGCGCATGCCAACCGCAGCAGCCCAGCGCGGAGCCCCGGAGGATCGGAGGTGCGCACAGGGGGAGGGCAGAGTTCGGTGGCAACGCATGGGAGCCTCCCACACCATCTTGTCGACTCTTGCGAATCGACGCTAGTCGACGCCAAATGGACGCTAATCGACGCTAAATCGACGCTACCCGACGCTAAATCGGCGCTATCTCATCGACTGAAAGACGCTTACCTGCTCCTAGTCGACGCTTAGGATGGAATTCAGAGGGTACGCCTATAGGTCGGACATGTCCCCCTACAGGCGGATTTTGGACAAAAAGTGACAAATAGCCAAATAATGCCCAAAAATGAGCAAGAATAGTCGAAGCATCGCTCCCAGACTATATGTTTATTATTTGGGAGTACTCCTCTTGTAGAGGGACAAGCCCGACTTGAGGGTACGCCAGGCTCCCATGATCTGCCGCCGAGGCAGAGGAGGGGGGCCTGCCCAGAAGTCCCGGAGCCTTCTGCCCAGAGCGAGAGGGGGCTCTTCCCCAAAGCCAGAAGGCTTCGGAGAAGCCCCACCACCTTCTGCCCGGCACACTCTCTCAAATGGGCGGTTTCGGAAAACCTGAACCCAAAAGCGTTGTCATCTCTTGGGGGTGCATTTTTACTTCCGCCGCCTTCCGCCGAGCTTCCGCCGGCTTCCGCTGGCGGAGGCGGCCTCGTTTTACTTCCGCCGACCTTCCGCCGCCCTTCCGCCGCCCTTCGCCGCGGAACAGATGACAACTCCTTCTACTCGCGAAGGCTAGGCCTTCCAAATGTCAGTGCTCTCGTGGTGCTCGAGAAGCCCCCCCGCCTTCTGTCAGGCACACTCTCACTCACATGGATTAGGGATCCGTGGATCGGGTTATATTGTTCCCAGCGAACTTAAGAGCCACATACCAGAAATAATCTCGAGCACTCAGAAAAGTATCGAAACAGTGTCGAACGAGTATCGCCTCCCAGGGCCCGACGCGCGAAAACCTTCCAAATGTCAGTACTTTCTTGGTGCTCGAAATTCTTTCTGGTGATCAATGCTAAATCAGGTTGGAGCATCATTAAATGGGATAAAGATCTGTCGGGCACACTCTCACATGGATTAGTCATTGCACCGGCCTTGCAAATGTGCTGCAGCGGCTTTCTGCGTGGATTTCTGACAGTGCAAAATCCCGAAACGGCGAGCGAAAGACGAAGTGAATGTCGCGTGGGTTTTGGGGGGTCTTCATTCCCGGTCGAAAAAAGTCCGCACCAAATTCACCTCGAAATCCGGAACGAAATTCTCCAGGACAATCCGGGCCCACCCTATCGTTTTCCGAAAGAAATCCGCCCTGCGATGTTGGAGCCATGAGGACTTGGGATCCGTGGATCGGGGAGGGTGCACCCCCCAACAAACGAAGCCAGTGTCGCCGCAGGACGACGGAGCGCGTCGACTTCGCATGGGAACGGAACCCGTCACTGATCCGGGCTGCCTTCATCTATGTCTCAGGTCGGGCATGTCCCCCTATAGGCGGCTTTTGGACGAAGCGCAGAAAACTGTTGAAACAATGCCTAAAAAGGACCAAGGATAGTCGAGAAATCGTCCCCAGACTTTTAATTTCAAACTTAGCCTGGCGAGAGACCCAACCATATGCAGTTGTGAGTACCGCAATTGTGAATGTCTTCTTCGGTGGCGCTCCCTATGGGGCCACGAAGCGCTGTACTGGGTGGGCGAAACGCAGGGAGCAAGGGCCATGTTGGGTGGTGGCGGCCGCATGCGGGCGGTGCCACTGGGACCTTCGGTGGAGCTCCCTATGGGGCCACGAAGCGCTGTACTGGGTGGGCGAAACGCAGGGAGCAAGGGCCATGTTGGGTGGTTGCGGACGCATGCGGGCGGTGCCACTGAGACCTTCGGTGGAGCCCCCTTATGGGGTCACGCAACGATGTACTGAGTGGGTGAAACGCAGGGAGCAAGGGCTGTGCTGGGTGGTGGCGGGCGCATGTGGGCGGTGCCGCTGGGACCTTCGGTGGAGCCCCATATGCAGCCACGAAACGCTGTACTGGGTGGATGAAACGCAAGGAGCAATGGCTGTGTTGGGTGGTGGCGGACGCATGCGGGCGGTGCCACTGGAGCCTTCGGTGGGACTCCTGATGGGGCCACGCAGCGCTGTACTGGGTGGGTGAAACGCAGGAAGCAAGGGATGTGCAAGTGGTGGCAGACGCATGTGGGCGGTGCCACTAGGACCTTCGGTGGAGCCCCCTTATGGGACCACGAAGCGCTGTACTGGGTGGGTGAAACGCAGAGAACAATGGCCGTGTTGGGTGGTGGCGGACGCACGCGGGCAGTGCCACTGGTACCTTCGGTGGAACCCCCTTTGGGGCCACGAAACGCTGTACTGGGTGGATGAAACGCGGAGAGCAATGGCTGTGCTGGGTGGTGGCGGACGCATGCGGGCGGTGCCACTGGGACCTTCGGTGGAGCTCCCTATGGGGCCACGGTACGCTGCATTGGGTGGGCGAAGTGCAGGGGGCAAGGGCTGTGCTGGGTGGTGGCGGACGCATGCGGGCGATGCCACTGAGACCTTCGGTGGAGCTCCCTATGGGGCCACGAAGCGCTGTACTGGGTGGGTGAAACGCAGGGAGCAAAGGCTGTGCTGGGTGGTGGCGGGCGCATGCGGACGGTGCCAGTGAGACCTTCCGTGGAGCCCCCTTTGGGGCCACGAAGCGTTGTACTGGGTGGGGGAAACGCAAGGAGCAAGGGCCATGTTGGGCGGTGGCGGGCGCATGCGGGCGGTGCCAGTGGGACCTTCCGTGGAGCCCCCTTTGGGCCACGAAACGCTGTACTGGGTGGGTGAAACGCAGGGAGCAAGGGCTGTGCTGGGTGGTGGCGGACGCATGCGGGCGGTCCCACTGGGGGCTTCGGTGGAGCTCTCTATGGGGCCACGAAGCGCTGTGCTAGGTGGGTGAAACACATGGAACAGGGAGGAGGGATGGGAGGAGGGGGAGGAGGGGGAGGAGGAGGAGAGGAGAAGAGGAACGCGGAGACCGTTTGTTCAAAACGAGGACCCAACACCACAGGATGGCTGGGAACAAAAAGCTATGTTTGAAGATTCCTCCTGTAGAGGGACAGGCCCGATTTCATTCATGTCTGAAGAGCCCTGCCCCCCTCACTTCATCCCTCGGCGCTCCGCCGAGAGGTGGCTCTGGGTGACCCACAAGGGGGTCCAGCTGAAAGGGGGTGGTGCAGTAGACTTGGGGCACTTGTAGTGCACATGTCTCATCTCTCTCTCTATCTCTCTCTCTCTCTCTCTTCCTGCGGCCTTGTATCCCTTGCGGACGCGTAGGCGTGGGGTGGGGGGCCCAAACATATACCACCACCACCACCACCACCACCACCACCACCACCACCACCACCACCACCACCACCACCACCACCACCACCACCACCACCACCACCACCACCACCACCACCACCACCACCACCACCACCACCCACCACCACCACCACCACCACCACCACCACCACCACCACCACCACCACCACCACCACCCACCACCACCACCACCACCACCACCACCACCACCACCACCACCACCACCACCACCACCCACCACCACCACCACCCACCACCACCACCACCACCACCACCACCACCACCACCCACCACCACCACACCACCACCACCACACCACCACCACCACCACCACCACCACCACCACCACCACCACCACCACCACCACCACCACCACCACCACCACCACCACCACCACCACCACCACCACCACCACCACCACCACCACCACCACCACCACCACCTCCCTCACCCCCTCCCTCCTGTATGAAAGAGGAAAGGAAGAGGAGGGTAGAGGAGAGAGGAGGAATCGACGTGGTGGTGGTGTACATTCTCTGGGTCCCTATAAAGAAAACAATGAAATCACACGACATGGAACCATAATGCCTCGCTATGTATACACGGAGGTTGCCCATTGCTGCCTGGGGCGGACCGCCCAGTTTTTGGGCGTGCCGTCCCGGTTGCACAGAATGCGCCTCACGAGCGACACGTCGGTCGCAGATGCAGTGTACAGTCAACCAGTATAGTAAGGATACGAGATCAGGATGCAAGAGCCTTGGACGCCCATTTCGAAGCTTTTCGAGCGGGGCGCGGCCAGCGAAAGTGGCGAAGGATGGACCGAGAAGGCAAGGATGCAAGGGTACCCTTGGGAAGCCCATCCTTAATATGCGGGTTGCCTGTGCTGCGCCGGAAAATTGTATTGCATCGTATTGCAACGAATGTACTTCACGCGAAAACCCAGCCATACATCTGCGCCCCGGCATGCACCGCACGCCCCCCAATGTATTACAACCCCACACGTCCAGTGCACCAAATCTGCTGCACCACCCCCTCGTCGCTGGATCCCCTTTCTGGGTAGTCGAAGCCAATCTGGCAGGCCCAATCTGGCAAACGGGGGCAAACTGGTGAGGGAGCCAACGCGAATCCAGTCTGGCGAATAACCCAAATCATCCAGTTTGGCCGGGCTAGATTGGCCCTTGGGGCCCAATCCAATCTGACAGTCTGGCCTTCGACTACCCAGCCCTTGTCGCTGGATCCCCTTTTGGGTCAACCCGAGTGGTGCCACCGGCGGGCCGGCCTCTGCGGAAGCTCCGGCGCGACGTGGCGCCACCTATTCTGGGGCACCCTCGGCCGCCCGCGCGGGCGGGCGCGGCGCGCGGCCGAGGGGCCGCCTCAGAGCCCCAGCGTGCCCCCGGAGGAGGTGCCACCTGGGCGAGGCAGAGACATCCCGGGCCGGACGAGCGGGAGCCACGAGCCTGTTTTTTTAGACTCTGGCAAGTTTACTTGCATGGACGGGGGGGGGCTGAGCCTGAAGCAAGCCCGGGGGGGAGGGCGCGGAAATCACGCAAGTCGAAAGGCGCTTGCACGCTAGTATTCGCTTGAAGAGGGGCGAGGGGGGGGGGGGGGGGGGCGAACGCCATGCAAGTAAACTTGCCTGAATCCCAAAAAACAGGCTCCAAGCAAGGGGATGCGGGTGCGGATGCAGCGATGCGGGGGTCACCAGTGCCCGGGCCCCTGGAGGGCGGTCGACCTCGCCGAGACACGCGCGTGGCACAGGCACTCCAGGAGGCACGTGCGGCGTGGAACAACCTGATGGGCGAGTGCACCACCACTCCAGGAGAGAGGGAGAGGCGGGAAGCTGGGAACCAAGCACGGGGGGAGTAGCGAACCAGCTCGGGCAGCCGGCTTTCCCGGCGCCGCGAGGCGCCCATGCATCCAGGAGAGCGCCCGGCGGCGGAGCCAACGCCTCCAGGAAGATGCCGTGCACCCCCCCATGTCCCTATCCCTCCTTGTCGTCCGCCCCGAACCGACCACCTCACCGATCCTGTCTGGGCCCACCCTGGGCCAGGAGGAGGAAGAGAGCACCGATGTCGCTGCTCCCCCTGGACCTTTCCCAGGGGGAGTCCCGGCCAGAGCGTCGAAGCGGATCGGGCCGTGGCGACGAGGGCCCGCCTGGAGGCCGAAGAGGGGCGACAGGCTGGGCAATGCGCAGCGGTATCGGTGCACGTCCCTCCTTCAGGGGAACTGGGACACACAAATAAATACACACAAATAAACATATCCCCCATATTTTCCTATATTTTCTGGGTTTTGTCTTCCCCCCCACTTCCCATATTTTCCCATATTTTCTGGGAATCGCCGATTAATTGTGTCTGTGTGTGTTTTCCCCTCCTGATTCTCATCCGAGAGGAGGGCCGCCCAGGGGGGCACGAGGAGAGCGAAAGCGAGGGCCCAGGATCGGTGAGATGGCCAGCTGGCGCTCCCCGACGGGGAGGTGCACCTGCGCGCAGCGGCACGGCGGCCTCTCTGCGCGCCGGCTTGCGCGGGCCCGCGCGCGCGAAACGCCGCGTGGAGAGAGCGCTCACTAGAGTCCACGCGTGTAATCAGGATGGGCGGTAAGGATGCAAGGGCCTTGAAAGGCCATGTCGACGCTTCTCGAGCGGGGCGCAGCCAGCGGAAGTGGCCAAGGGCCGGATGGGAAGAATGCAAGGGCAGCCTTGAAAAGATGATCATCCGTACTGTGCGCTTTGACTTTACTCATGGCTCTGGCCTTGCATGAGGGCTACTTCGAAAATGTACGTGGAAATCTGCCAAAAAGGCTGGCGGAAAACGCAGTAAATTCCACGTGAATAGTTTAAAGCTTCATCTCCCGACTGCAAACACAACTGCTCGCATATTTATCCCATCGGAATCCGTTGAGGCTCTGCGAAATTGACGCCATGATGTTACAGCTCGACCTCGCGCGGGGAGCGTGCGTGCGAGTGGGGAAACCAGAAGGTACCGATACGGATACCGCTATTCCCTCGACCTCTCCTGAGGTGCACTCGGACCAAAAATTCGACGCGAATCCAGCGGTGGCGACGAGGGCCTCCCAGGAGGCAAACAGAAGAAGAATATAAAGCACGAGGCAATGGCAGCGGTGTCGGTGCATTCTCCTCCTGCGCGTGAAGGGCCGCGCGAGCGCCCCGACGTTGCCACGCCGCCCACCCGCGGGCCAGTCCCGGGCGCCTGGGCCGCTCTCGTGGCCCTGGGTGAGGGCGGGGAGCGCGCTGCCGCCGGGCAGGCCGTGAGCGATGCTGCGGCTGAGGTGGAGGACGCCCACCTGCTGGACCAGGTGCTCGACCTAGAGTCGAAGGGGCCCAGGGAGGCACCAAGAATGCGGCACACGCTCCAGGATCCCCAATGTGATGATTCCGTGTATATATATATATATATATATATAGGTAGATATAGATATTCCTGGAATTTCCCCTTCTCCTCCGTTTCCCATATTCTCCCCGATCCCCGTGGAAATCAACGTTCATTCGCGTGCTGTGCCTACTTCTCCCTCTTGATGGGGAACGAAAGACCATAAAACACAAATGTTCGGAGCTCCGCGCGGATTCCCTGGACTGGCGCTGGGCCCACCCCCCCTTGCGCGCGGAGCGGGCCAGGAGCAGCGTCGGAGGCGCCGCCAGAGGGGGGGCCCCAGCGCCGATCCGGCAGATCTGCGCGGAGCTGCGAACGCGTACAGTCGAGGCGTTGACCTAAGGAACCCTAAATAAGGAACGAGGCCCCTTTTTCCCATAAGTTAATCTCCGATTTCCGATGGAAAACCTCAGCAAAACCCAAGGAGCACTGTAAAACAACTACGGAACACGGAGCCCCTCCCAAACGAAAAGGGTTCCTTCTTCAAGGCCCCGACTGTATGTTTCCAGCACCCTGCGTTTGGTAGCACTCGTGGGGGGGAGTCGGAGGCGCGCAAACATGGATTGGCGATCCATGGATTTGGCGCGCGGTCGCCAAGTCCATGGACCGGGGGAGGTGCCCTCCCCACAATACGGCCGGTGCCGCCTCATTCGGCGGCGGACATCCGCGATTTCCATTGGAAACGGGGCCCGTCGCTAATCCACGCCCCCTTGATCCATGTTTGCGATCGCCTGAGGGAGGGGGGCGCCACCCCCGCCGACAGCCCCGGGTCGACCACCGTCCCGGGCAATCACTGCCGCGCGACGTCGACCACAGTGGGCCCACGCCACCCGTCGCAAAAACCAGACCGCCGGACAGGTTGACGTTGACCCCCGTCAGGGAGGACCCCCCCACGCTTATTACCAAATGCAGAGTATTGTAGTTGTTGTTCTTCTTCTTCTTCGACGACCACAGACGAGGCCCCGCTGCCGATGTCCGCCAGGCGGTAGATCCACGGTGGTATGCTGCCCACCCCGAGCCTGCCGCACAGGTCGTCGGCGAAGTGGCAACAGTTCCTCTTCAGGAGGCTGTAGCCAGTGCCTGGGTACTCCGCGGCCATGCAGCGGATCACGTCGGTCACCTGTGAAGAACGAGGAAAGCCTGACATCTGGACATCTCAAATGTTCTCCAGCTGTGCTTTTTCGCCGAACCCGAGTTAGCCCTGACACGAGTTACCCATGATGATTTGGAGCTGTGGACGCCCGAATTATCCAGGGTAACTCGGGCCTGGGGTAACTTGGGTTCGGATTCCCGAAAAACGAACCCGAGTTAGCCATGGCACGAGTTACCCCTGACGACTTGGGGTTCTGGACGCCCGAATTATCCAAGGAAACTCGGGCCCGGGTAACTTGGGTTCGGATTCCCGAAAAAACGAACCCGAGTTAGCCCTGACACGAGTTACCCCTGATGATTTGGGGCTCTGAGCTTTCGCGACATCGGATCTCAGAGAATGGCGTGCAGGATCCCTTGAATCGGAGCAAGACCTTCTGGGGCGGCGCCGGAGGCGCCGCCAGGGGGTTACCCAGCGCCAAGACAAGAAATCCGCGCGGAGCTGTAAGTTGGGCCTGTCCCTCTACAGGAAGAATATTCAAAGATAGTATAATAATATTATAGAGACGATTTTTCTATAATGTTTGACAAATTTGGTATATGTCTTGAATATGTCTCGTCCAAAGTCCGCCTGTAGGAGGACACGCCCGACCTAAGCAGAGCTCCGAAAGTTGAAGTGCATGCTCTCTTCGAACCTCGGCCCTCGAGAGCGTCGTGCTGCGCATGACAACCGTCTCCCTGAAGTGGTGATCGCGGTGGGTGCCAGGGTGCACAGCGGCCACGCCCGTGCCGGCGAGGCAGTGGCCGAACATGAATTCCTTGTCGAAGAGCTCGACGCCAACGTGGAAGAGGCCGCCGAATTTGAAAGGGGAGAGCCTGTGGGCGAGGACGGAGTTCAGCCACTGGACGCACTGGTGCTGGGACACGTCGTAAATGTTGAGCCGCACCTGCGGAGACCAAAAGGTTTCCATACCGCTAGACAGGGTGCGTGCTGACCAGAAGTTCGAGGCGAATCCAGCGGTGGCGGCAACGGCCTCCCTCCAGGCACCCCGAGGCCCAAAAAGACTAAAACGGGGCCAGGGTAGCCTGCCTGCCTCTCCCTTTGGGTCGGGCGTGTCCTCCTACAGGCGAATGTTGGGCGAAAAATGAAATGGAACTAATCAAACAATGCTCCAGAGCGGTCAAAAATACTCAAAAAATGGTCCCACAGCCTATTTCTTTACTATGTTCGACGATTCGTCCTGTAGAGGGACAGGCCCGACTTGACTCTTCCTCGTCGGAGCACCGTCGCCCCCGCCTCGAGGAGCGCGCGCGGCGGCGCACAGGGCGGTGCGCACGGCGACGCGCGCGGCGACTGCTGCGGCCTCCCGCGGGGCGACGCGAGCGTGGGCGTGGCCGCCGGCGCGGCCGCCCGGGGCCCCTCCTCCGCCTCGCCGTCGTCGTCCGCACTGTCCTGAGCAGGGAGCGCCCCGTCCATGTGAGCGACGATCAAAAACGGGTCTTGCAGTCGGGGCGCCGACCTGAGGAACCCTAAGCAAGGGACGGGGCCCCTTGTTTCCACAAGTTAACCTTCGATTTCCCATGGATGACCTGAGGACAACCCAAGGCAAGCTGCGAAACAATTAAGGAACACGGAGCCCCTCCCCAACGAAAAGGGTTCATTGTTCAGCGCCCCGACTGTACGCGAGATGACACAGCGACCTTACGCGGTGGCTTACGCGGGCCGCAGGCGCGGAACGCCACAAGGGAGACGAGGGCACTCACGCGCGTCCTTGCGCGCGAGCAGCTTGCGTGCCAATGTCGGCGCAGTCGAGCCCCTTGTTTTTCCGGCGCTTATGTGTCCCGGAGACTTTGTGGAAGCCTCCTAGATGGAGTCCGAGTACATTGGGTCGGAGGATCTCGCCGCACCGCCGATGTATCGGCGATTCATCGGCGATGCACCAGCGATGCGTCGGCGATACACCCGCGATGCACCGTCGACGTCGGCGGTGTATCGGCGACGTCGGCGTGAAGCAAATCGGGCTCCGCATCGAACCACATCGGCGGTGCATCGGCGATGCGGCGCGATCCTCCGACCCCATCGCCGACCCCATCTAGGAGGCCTAGACTTTGGCGTTGCAATGTTTGTAACGACGGGCGCTTCCGCTCAACGTCGGGCCCTGGGACAGATCGATGCGGCTCGAAACATGACGCAGAAAGAAATGGTCTGGGGCTCTGGTCGCAGTTTTTGCGAGCTTACCACGACAAATTGTGAAACGAATGAGCGCCCTAAGAACCCACGCGAAAATCTTAGAACATGAATCCAGCGTCTCAACACCAAAACCGTCTCAGCCATGACGGTTCTGGTACAAGCCACAGCAGGCTTTTCGAAAATCTATTCGTTGGCCTTTAGCTTCTGAAAGTCATTCGATAACCGCCCAGTTGTGGAAACTTATCATCTTTTCGAGGCCCGTATTGACAGACTGGGGCCCCGCAAATATTGGAAAATAGTTGTTTTTTCCGCGGCACCGGCCGCACAACAATGACAACGACGACCAGATGAAAGAGGAGGTTGTGAAGAACACCTTCGGTGAAGACTGTGTAGATCTATGTTGCAATCCTCTTACACACGTGCTCACAGCCCAGGGATAAATATTCCCTGGGTGAAACAATGAGCCTGGCGAAGGACCCAACCATATGCAGTTGTGAATACCGCAAATATGAATATCGTTTTCGGTGGCGCTACCTCTGGGTAGGGGAGACACTTGCGAAAACCCCCATTGGGGCCTTCGGTGGAGCTCCCTATGGGGCTACGAAACGCTGCCCTGGGTACGGGAACCACATGCGGGCACCCCCACTGGGGCCTTCGGTGGAGCTCCCTATGGGGCTACGAAACGCTGCCCTGGGTACGGGAACCACATGCGGGCACCCCCACTGGGGCCTACGGTAGAGCTCCCTATGGGGCTACGAAGCGCTGCCCTGGGTGGGGGGGAACCGCATGCGGGCACCCCCACTGGGGCCTTCGGTGGAGCTCCCTATGGGGCTACGAAACGCTGCCCTGGGTGGGGGAACCGCATGCGAACACCCCCACTGGGGCCTTCGGTGGAGCTCCCTATGGGGCCACGAAACGCTGCCCTGGGTGGGGGAACCGCATGCGGGCACCCCCACTGGGGCCTTCGGTGGAGCTCCCTATGGGGCTACGAAACGCTGCCCTGGGTGGGGGAACCACATGCGGGCACCCCCACTGGGGCCTACGGTGGAGCTCCCTATGGGGCTACGAAACGCTGCCCTGGGTGGGGGAACCGCATGCGGGCACCCCCACTGGGGCCTTCGGTGGAGCTCCCCATGGAGCTACGAAGCGCTGCCCTAGATGGGGGAACCGCATGCGGGCACCCCCACTGGGGCCTTCGGTGGAGCTCCCTATGGGGCCACGAAGCGCTGCCCTGGGTGGGGGAACCGCATGCGGACACCCCCGCTGGGGCCTTCTTTGGAGCTCCCGATGGGGCCACGAAACGCTGCCCTGGGTGGGGGAACCGCATGCGGGCACCCCCACTGGGGCCTTCGGTGGAGCCCCCTATGGGGCTACGAAACGCTGCACTGGGTGGAGGAACCGAATGCGGGCAGGAGGAGGGGGGGGGAGGAGAGGGGAGGAGGAAGGAAGGAAGGAAGGAAGGAAGGAAGGAAGGAAGGAAGGAAGGAAGGAAGGAGACGCGGGGCGCTGTCTCTTCAAAACGAGGACCCAACACCACAGGATGGCTGGGAAAAACTCAGCACGCCCGACAATGGAGGGAGCATATTGTCCGCCGCAACGGCGACGACGCATATGACCACGACTAAGACTACGACTACGATTACGACTACAACCACGACGATACGACTATAATCGCGACTACAAACACACTTGCAATCATGGTTGCAACGACGACTACAGTCACGACTACAACCACAACCACTGCTTCCTATTCAAATCC